TGTTGCCATCCCAAGCCTGAGATGTTGAATTGCTCTAGGATGGCAACACAGGGCTGCATCACAGGGCAGGGCACTTCTGCACAAACTGCTGGCCCAGGTGGGAACTCTCAGTGCACTGGCTGCAATGGCAGAGGAAGAAAAAACCACAGCTAGGATTGTACTAGGAGTAGAGGGAGAAAAAGCACTATCATAAATACTGTAAAAACTCTTTAGCTAAAGAAAAACAATGCAAACAGGCATCTCTCGGATACATTCTTCTTTTGCTGGATTTTGTAGAAACATGCTCCCCTCATCTGGCAAAGTTGTTTTGATGAGAGGTACTTATGTCACTCTTGGCTATTCTCTCTTTGCAACTACTCTCTGCCTTGGGATTTAGGAGGTGCCTATGTGAAAAGCCTCATTACCTATGTGAAGACACAGAAGTGCTCAGCTGCTGAAGTACCACGATGCATAGGCTCCAGCAAAGCCTGCTAGCAAAGGTTTTCCTGCCCTCCCAGCCCTTTTATTCCTCTGAACTCAACTATCTTAAAAAAGCACATGAAATAATGTGCAGCATGTATTTCCCTGAACAAGAATCCAATGCAGAAAAGAAACTATTTGCATATTAGAAATCCTGTTTTGTAGGAAATCTGTGTGCCAGGAAAATGGAACATATGTGCTGAATGAATTTAGGCAAAGCTGCACCTTTGCTGTGCTGCTTAAGAAAAATCACATTTACTACATCAGTCTGAGACTGACATGGGCTTTACATCAGCATTTCATCAAAACTGAACAACTGAAATATGAACACTAAGTAAAAGATGACAGCACAGCATTCATGGTTCAACATACTGCACCAGGTTTTGGAAAAGGACCTTGCTGAAGCCAAACACCCACCCCAAGTACACAACAGACCCCTCTCCAAATATCCAAACAAGTCCTGGCAGGACAGAAGGCAGTATGTGGCAACAGGTTAGTTGAACAATGCACACCTGCACCACAGGGGCACAAACAGCCCACAGCAGCCCTCCTGCTCTGCTCATTTGTGGGAGATCCCCTGGGGGGATGTCAAGCCCAGGAGCTTGCCCTGCTTCTGGTGCAGATCTCTGCAAGAACCATTTCAAAAAACAACACAGAAGTGCAGTGGGAGGGTACAGGAAGAAGGAGAGAGGAATACAGAAATCTGGTAGAGTTCTGGATACTTCAAAACATCAAAGCTACCAAAAGGGCAAGTTCATCCACAATTTCATCTCAAAGGAAAGCCCAGCCTGTTTCCCTACTGGAGTTTCCCAGCTGCCTACCCAAACAGGAGGCAGTGAACATATATTTTCTTTCAGTACTTTGCTGCCTGTTAGTGGTAACTCCCTTGGAAGAGCTGTATAGCAAATCCTTTTTGGCAACTGCAACGCACCAGTGGAAATGATTTATTACCAAATGTAGTTTGAACTAAATGAAAGAAGAGTTAGGGATACTTCTGGTGCTTTGGAAAAAATGGGTATTGGTCACTGGCAGAGGTGCTCTAGGTACTACATACAACACACTACAACACTTCAAACATTAAGTCTACCCGTGGTACTTTGGACATCATGTTCCCACTCCAAGACTCCCTGCTTACAGTCAGACATTCACTTGTTCAACAGCACGGAAACACCTCCATCCACGGGCTGCTTGGCAGTGTCTGTCTTACTTCAGTCCCATACAGACACCAGGGTGGATACCTGGTTATTCAAATACATGCCTGATATATTGCTAATGTCCAGTAATAAGCACTATGGTATTTTTCTGACTTTTGTTTTGCACAGGCACTGGAATTGAGCTGTGGCTTTTTAAAGACATAAGTTTTCAGGAAAACATGAATATGGTCATTATAAGGATTGTAGTTCTGCAGTTTCAACTTGGCATACACAATTTCTGTATTGTTTACAGCTTTATTCTTTAAATGGTTTTAATAAACATGCACAAAATTAAAGAATCAAAAAGTTACCCTTATCTGAGTGTTGTACATTGGAATCAGCCTGTTCACAGCAAAAGATCTCACAATGAAGCTGAAGTAAAAAATACATGTTTTTTGCTATTAATCTCCCATTCAATTTTCTAGTGGAGCCATTCCAATATCTACAAACACATAAAAATTTTGTATTGTCTATGATTAGACTTGCTAATCAAGCTGTATCTTTATCCCAATGCGTATTTACCAGAAATGATAAGGCTCTTTTGTAAGTTATGCCATTCTGCCATCGAGAAAAGTGGAGAAGTTCACCTCTGGTAGGATTTAGTTCTGGAAGAGAAAATGTTCCAGACAGTTCCCCAACTGTCTGGGCTGACCAGAACACAGTGTGCCAACCTCCAGGCAGCCCTCAGGAACCTCTCGCTCTTCCTTGCCATCTCTGCCAGTACAAGTGCAGAGGGAATACCTAATCCTGAGATACTTAACTGGGTACATTTTGCCCACTGGTCACAGACATGTCATATCTCCTATATTCCTGCTGGAAATCCTGTCCTTCACACTATTCTCCTGGCATGGCTGGCTGTTCCATTTATGAGAGGGAAACACAGTGTCTGAATGGCTTTGTCAAAATGGTACTTGGTAGATACTGGAAAAATTTCACCAGTGGCAAGAATGAATGTGTTTTTACACAATACAGAAGTGTATAGAAGCATCAGGACTCAAAAGGTACTGAAATAAACAATGTATTTCTTGATCTCACCCCAAGAGTCAATAGCTGAAGGAATTGTTAAAGTAGAAGCAGCAGGTTCTGGGATAAGCAAAATAAGACAAATCACTCTCCAAAAGGAGTGAACCAACTACTGTATTACATGGGGATGCAGCCTTGCAAGCCTTCTTAAAAATAAAATCTCCACGTTATATGCATGAAAATGAAGCCAGAGCTATTCAAGGGCACTTATATCTTCACAACTGATGATAGTTGCATTTCTTTTTCCATTACCTTATGGCAAGAACAAGCCCCAGCTCCTGTTAATGTTTGGATCAGCCACTGGAGACAAGCACTGTAAGTTTAATTTTTTTTCAGTATTACAATGCTTTGTGACTCAGGAATTATGGAAAAAAAAAAGGCTATTTTTAAAATATATACCGCAGCACTAAGGTACTGAAGGTTTTCTGATTAAACTATCTTGCTCTACATTGTTTGCACAGTTCTCAAAACCACCTGTAGAAGAGGTGAAATCCTGGCCCAAGGGATGCTAAAAGAAGCCTCATCCATGAAAATGGGGTTTCAGAACAGAATATTGCTAAGGTATCTAGTAAGAAACTCAGCAGTAATTTATAAACTCATTGACATGGCTATATAGAAATATTTCTAGTTTGTCAGAATAAATCCTACTATTCATCATCAGCATAGTTATAGCCTACATCAATCATTTGCACTTCAGTCACCTTGTTCATTCTCATACTCTGCTGATTCAGCTTTAAATTTTACTTCACTGATAGGAGTCTTTCACAAAGGTCAAAAAAGTGCCTTCAAAGTAAGGAGTGTGGTTCTGTCTAATGAATCCTCAGTTACTACTCCTTCTCTAGTTATCCTCATTTCAGACAAATTAACTACATTCTACAAAAAATTAATATCCTTATCCTTTGGATTTACACTGGAAATAATCACCAATACTCATAAGACTAGTACAGAAGAAATTACACTGAAAAAATATCAGCAGCACCAAGTTTTCTTGGTACTTAATTTCTAAGACCTTTATTTTATGTCTAATTTGTGCTCCAAATTTGGAGCAGAAGACTTTTGAGGGTCAGGTCTATCTGGTGGGAATGATTTGGGTTACTGAATATGAAATTTTGTGACTCAAGTTTTGGAGCACTTAACGAAACAGTATCCCATCATGTTTCATATATCAATTGAAATTAGAAATCAGAAATTACAGATCTCTATGATCTACTGCTACTCCTTTACATAGACTAGCTGACATATTAATACCTCAAAACTTCTTTCCACTACAAACTGCAGCCCTAGGTAATCATACAGGAGATCCACAAGAGCCAATCTCAGCCCAGCACTAGCTCCACGACAGAAAGGCACTGTAAAGTTTAGTCCAAAGTTTGCATTATGGACATTTTTATAAATAAAAACAAAAGCAGGTAGTAAACATTTTTGAAGCAGGCTTTGTGTTTACATCCAAGCACTTCAGTAAGTGTGACAAATGTTGCCACCTCATGGACAGGTGCAGGGTTTGATCCAGCTCAGCGGTAGGAAGGAAAACAGATCACGGAGATGACTCATTGCTGCTCTTTCACACTCCCCTGAGGGAGGAAGCCAGAGCTTGGCCAGAAGAATGCTTTTGCCACTTGGGTCTGAATCCAGAAGAATGGCAATGCATCCACAATTGGGGGAAAAAAAGAAAACAACATAAAAAGAAAACATAGGAAGGGGCAAGGGGCAAGGAGCTACATATATTTAGAGTATTTGGCCATTTCTGATACAAGAGCAAGGGGGGAAGTCTGTTGATTTTTCCTTGAGAAAAACCTGTAATGTTCAATTTAGGACCTGGCATTGTCTTTTACTGTCAAACAGTCAAAGGTGAGCACTCAAGAGTAAAATATCAGTGTTTTTAAAAGTTTAAAAGTTTTATGGAGTTTTCATGAGGGTTACCAAAATCTTCAGATTCACAAAGGCAGTAACCTCCAACTAGACTAGGAGATTTGAATGCTCCATAAATTGTGTATCTTCTACTTGTATGTTGCAACTGTAGTGCATTCCATCAGGTATTTCCAAGAACAAAGTTTTATGTTACAGTACTATATTGGTTATTCACTGTTCCACCACTTTTGGCGAACTGTTGCAAAAAGACTCTGTCACCTGTTGAATTTCTCCCTTCCTGATGAAAAGGCAGCTGTGCCATCCTCCTCTACAGGACTGAGGCTATTAGAAAAGCCATTACAAGGTGTGTATGTTAAAATTATGTTCATTCCACATGGCACTCTAATTAGCACTTCATGTAACTGGATAAACATACAAGGAGCATAGAATGTCGAAACAAAAATAAAACATTTCAAGTTTGACATAGGAATAGAACTTTAAGAATCATTTATTTTTTTAAAACAGCTTCGTAAAAATACATTCATAGTCAACATTTATGAATGGACTACAGAAGACAGTATGGTGACTAATTGGGAGATTCCTATCATCATGATCTCCATGTAACAGGGTAACAGTCTGCCTACATACTACTGAAGAGAAAGAAGTATTTGTACCAGCTTGATTTTTAAATATGTTCTTATGTTTATTATACTTTGCTACTCAACTCTCCTGAAATGGTGGCCTCAGGAAAAGCTGCTTTGGCAGGCAATTGCAAAGATTCCTGTGGAGAGGAAGTGAAAAGACTGGGCATACAAACAACGGCTGCTGCCATGTTCAAAGCACTGGGGAGAGTTCATAGAGCAAAATGCAGTCCTAAGTAAATGGGTTTCAGGCAATTTCAGTGTTAAGATAACATCATTAAGAGTAGAACAGATTGTGCTCAAACCCTGCTGTTTATAATTAACACATTGCTTCCAAATACTCCAGGGTCCCTGGTAAATAGTCCTCTGCTCAGATCCACCCAGACCAATCAGAGTATTTTCATCAGGTTCCATGCTGGGCCAGCACCTGTTTGGACAAATCCAAAAGAGCCAAAATACTCTTCTTTCTGGCCGGCTAAGTAGAGAGATGAACACAGCTTGCCTTAGTCATTGTCACAGTGTCCATATGGCTGTGAAGCTTGTTTTCACAAGAAATCGTACAAGTACTTTATTATGTCGAAGTTCACGGTCCTATAAACAAAAACACAGTATATTAGAGCAATCATCTTCACACTGCTAAGACTTTAACCTGTTTGGAGACAGCACATGCAGGACATTCTGCACCATCAAAATCAAGCAATTCCCCAAAAGAAATGCAAGCAAGAATTAGTGAATTTTTCATTTCTCTCATTATTTACAATATCTCTCTTCTGATTATTTAAACTTTGTAAAATTCTATAAAAGAAATATTGCAACTTCCTAGTAAAGAAAGGAAGACTCATTTCAATAATGAAACAGTAAAAATATAATAATATTAATAAGATTATATTTTCGTATGGCAAACTTGATGTTCTAGTTGGTGATGCAAAGCAACAACCTTTTATGCTATTGAATGTTTTGTTCATCTCCCAAACCACCTGTTTTAGCATGTACTACACAACTCCTTCATCTGTACTCATTTGGAGCCTGCGTTCTTTCAGTCTTGACAGTAGTTGACCCATGTTCATAGCTAAATTTGAAAAATCCAAGAATGCCAATCAATGGGATACAAGATTTTAATGTACAATTTTGTACTTTAATGGCAGGCAAAAAGAAACAGCAGTAGAATAAAACATATAATTATTTTTTTTGTCTCTAAACTCATTCTTCTATACAATCTAGCACTCAGTCTTTAGGGTTTACTGTTTGAATAAATGCAAATTACTGCACATAATGACAAGTATAAAATTAAAAGCGTTTTTTTTAAGTATTCAATGATGCAAAAATAACTACTAACAATACTAAGAGCGATTAGCTAGTGGAATTCTTATTTGTTGGACTACAATCATTTAATATTTATTCTCTGTTCATGCATCAGCCTGTAACCCACTTTTCAAAAAGTTTTTATAAAACATCATTTTGGACAGAGAAAAAGTTTAGAAATCCCCAAGGTACATAATAGGAAATAATCTGTTGGAGTCTATTTATTAATCTAGTGACAAATTCAAAGATACTAAATGCCACTGTTAGACTTGCATGACAATGTGTCACTCAAAAAAAGTGCTTTAGTTACAAGGCTTTCCACAGAAACAAAATCTCACACACTAACAAATGCTGACCTTATCAACTAAATGAAACAGAACTGTCCTGTCATAACAACTGGGTTTATTACAGACTCTCTGAAAAGATCTATTATATTCAATAAACACTACAAGAGCCCTACTTCAGCTAGAGAAAATTTATGAACATAGGTCTGAAATTCTTAAAGCCGAAATTATTTCTAACAAAGAAACATCTAACTTAACCTTCAGCTAAATGTTTAACTACTATGTGGTAAAAAACAGAGATATTTCCACAAAGACTGAGCATATGCCGCAAAATAGAGCTAGACATGAGGTTCTGTGTTAAAAAAGAGAGAATGTGCATTTCAGCAGTTACAAGTTTTTTACTTCTTTTTACTTTTTTACAGACACAAGTTTTTTAATCTTTTCCAAAAATAGGTGGCTTTTTTTTAGTGCAAACTTCACTTTTGCTTAAAAAACACAGAAAATGAAATGACAATTTGAATAGCCTGGATGGGGGTGGGGAGGGAGCATCTTTTTCTGACCCATTCTTTGCACTCCTCAGCCTTCCATTAGGAAATATGCTGGAGAAACAAGGCTGAGGTATCAGAAGATTTTAGTGACTACCAAACTTATTTTAGTCTATTTCAGTAACAGAGAAAAGAAGAATCAGATGGCCTGCTTACTTGGTATGTATTTTGGCCTAAATTGCAAAGTAGTTCCTTCTCTGTGACAAAACCAAAACTATTGCACAGATAGAAAATGAAATTTCTTAAAGCACAGAAGATCAGGCCTTCATCCTATAGCTAGTAGCCCCACCCAGGGAAGAGAGCTCATTTATAATGAACTCATGAAACCTTCTCTTTTTATGGATCACTCTCCTTTAAGATTTAATAAATGCTATGGCCTGAAAAGCGTATTTTAATAAAAATTGTAACAAAGGAACAAAGAAAGATTTTTTTAAAAAAGGGAGAAACAGGAGGAAAGCAGAACAGGTCAACTTCAAAACTTTTCTATCAAATTTAAATAGTCCTATCTAGGCAGCAAATAAAGACCTGCAAACTGCTTGGAGGGGGTGAAAAAAATAACTGCTTTCTTCCTCATAAAATGTAGGAAAAGTCAGTTTGGATACATATATATGTTTACACATACATATATATATATATATACACATGCACACACATGAGACCTAAAGGAAAGAAAACAAGCTAGAACACTGTACCATGCACTGAGCTTTGAAGTGACAGTGTCTCTGACAAGTACTTCCTCCAGCAAGCATGAGATGCATGGCACAAGTTTTGGTCCTGTTTTCTGGCCATCTCTACCTTCCAGCAGCAACTTTAATGCAGTCACTGAAACTTCTAAGGATGTCAAAGTTGGAAGGAAATGGCTGTCAAAGTATCCCAATTCAAGGATCCATCCAACCTGTAACTGTATACACAATGATCCATGTTGCTGAGCAGATGGTCTGCTGTGCTTGGTTCCAGGGGAGCTTTTTCAGGGCATCACTCACAAGTGACTTTACTGCCGGGAATAGCAAACTGACATAGCAAAGCTGTGGAGGTCCTGGCAGTGTGGTCTGGCCAGACCTGAGCCATACAAAGTTTTGTTCTACGGCCTGTCCAACTGAAAATTGAAATTAGTGTATCTGTTGCATTTACTGACAAGACTACTGGACATTTAATAGCTCAGGAGAGAATCATGTGCACTGAGTTTATGAAATACAGCCTACACCTCAGGTTGCTCGGAAGTCCCACATTACAGAGAAGAGTTGGCCTTGGGAACATTTCTCCCTTTTGACACTTGTCATTCCTGGGCTCTGTTCTGGTTATAGACTGTTTATCCAAGACTTGCTAATAAGATGGCAGCAATAGATAAAATATGAGACAAAGGTCTGATTGTTGCTTTTGCATTGCATGCATTTCTGTATTCAAATTATTGCAGTCTCTCCTGATGGATCTCAAACTGTTCTCAGACTTCACAACTGAAGGCTCTGGATAAACAAAGACACTGATGTACCTACATCCACTTACTGAATTAATTTACATCAACACATGATCACAAAAGATAGTCTATGTGCAAGAATTCTTATTACCTAAGTAGTTTTTATATCATACGCACAACACTGTTAAGAACGAAATACAATTTCAGATTCAAATACCATAATGTGCGTTTTGGTAATGAAATGGACTGACATTTTAGAGCAATATTTTCACATGAAGTCCCTGACCTTTATTAAGCACAAAGACAGTATGTTACTGTAACACATACTGCCACCGTAACATAAATCTTTTTCAAAACAGGAATGGATTATACTTACCTTGGGTACAACTTTTCTCATAAATAACATGACTTATTCAGTCATTCTTAGAAAACATCCACAGGTTTTTTATTCTGGTCTGCAAAGAGCTACAGACTGAACAAATACTTGGTCTGAAGTATCTTTCAAGTCAGCACATACAACAGGTAAATGAACTCTTAACAGGCTCACCTGGCAATAGCTCTGATGAAGTCCAGAGATACAGTACATTTGTATCGTGGTCCATCAAGCTGGTCATTCTGGCCAACCATGGATAACAGCTGCAGTGTCACAAGAGAGGTGATCTACAGACAAGAGACACCAGCAATGTTAGTCATTTTTGTTAACAGAAATAGCAGTGGCCAATTTATTATTTTGGGTTTCGGTTTTGTTGTTTTTTTCTTTACATTTGGCACAATTCCCATTTTTCTCTGGAAAGTCAGTCCTACTTGCTCATTGTTCACTTCCACACAGCTCCACAGCAAGAAAACCCAGGAATGTACATACAGCTTGCCATTACATTTTCAGCACTAGCAGTGATAGACACAGGCTAAACCCTTCATCCTTCGTATCAAAAGTTATCCTGGAGTTTTGATCAGAGGAACAGTAATAATAGGCATGAGCTGAACATTTTCCAAATCTCTGCCTGACAATCAGAAGGGACTAGGATTTTCTTTCCTTTATCCCTGAAGATCACCTTTTGAACTCTCCCACTCAAAGTTGGATATTCCTGTGCCAGATCCTATCACATTTTGAACAGATGGATGTATCACTCTACTCCAGATAAAAAAGAATTTGAAGGTTGGAAAGAAAAGGCTAGAAGACTGTATGCTTAAAAAGAGCAGGGTCTGAGTTGAGAGAAATTTGCCTACAAACACACTACAGTGTCTTGACAGAGCCATTGATTATTTTACTGAAATAGCAATGTACCAGCATACTTTTTCACTTTCCACCTCCAGTGATGGCTGTGGTACCACTGAAGTGCAATCATGGGGTGTCACCACTGAGAACAGCCAGCGCATTCTGACTCAGTTAGGAAGAGACACTGTAGTGATTCCATTGTCTCCCTATCTCCTCCCAGATACCATGGAAAGAAAGAGGTGAAAGGAGGAAAGAAAATTTTTCCCTGGCCTTTGCAATAGATACCACTGACAATTCAGGGCAATGAGGTTACATTCTGTGACAAACTGGTATCTATCTGGCCACAGGTTTCGGTTTCAAAAAAACAGCCAACCATGACCTACTTCTGATTAATGATAATAGGACAGTAAGGAAGAATAAATGTATGAGGAAAGAAAGTGTCAGTTCAAACGTTCAAGGAAGCACATTGCTATAAAAAGCACCAGCAAGTTCTTACCAGTATCAATAAAAAATAATCCTAACTCAATAATAACCCCGCTCTTTTGCTGAAAGTACTTGGTTTTCAAATTTGTGACAGTGCTTGTAGGAGGTAGGAATAATATAATTGAAAAAAAAATTACACCTACCTGTGAAGAATAGAAAAAAAATATGGTACCCAAGAATGAAGCAATTTTTTTAACAGCCTGCACTTAACTTTCTTTCACATGACATGAGACAACAATAATTTGGATGCCAAAATCCTGCAAGGTCTTTGGAGTTTAAGGAATGCTGGTCTACACACAGTCACAAAGACAAATTCCATTTACTTAATTCAGATCTATAATTTACACAATTTATCAAATTTTAGCGTTGAGAAAATTTGAGAAAATTGAACTCAGAATACAGCAAATTGCTCAAATTCCAGTTCATTAATCATTTTGCATGTATCACTGACTGGGATAAACCTCAAACTTGTTAGGTTTTACATTCTTAAAATACTCATGAGAGTACATTTTTCTCCATTCTTCATTCAACAAAGCCCATATTCACAATGAAGGAATCTGCTGTAACAATTCCATCCAGGTGCATCAATATCAGCAAATCACACTTGAAGCTGCCCTCACGTTCAGAAATCTCCAGTGAAGGAACAGCAGGAGGATTCCTTAAAGTTCCTTATGACTACAGAAAAAGCCTGCACAGTTTGGAGTCAGATCCATCTCAGGTTTTTGTGGTATATAAAAATGACCTTGCTGCTGCATCAAAAATGCTCCAGCAATGCTTCAACAAATTGTATATTTTCTTTTCCAAGTAGCACCAAATGCTCCGTGAATAACATGAGGTCAGAAATGTATAACTCCCTACTGAAGACTGACTCAAGAAATCTGAACTAGCATCAGACTTGACACCAAGTTTCACTAATGTTCTTGACTAAAGAAATTAACCCAAAGACTCAATATACAAGATAAATGAAGCTACTGATCATCAGAGTAATGAACTTAGGAAACTGCAACCTTTTACTTACTTCTTTCACAATCCTTAATAAATGTCATCACAGGGAAGGAAGTGCAAAAACAGCAAGTCCTAACCCTGAGACCAATTAAAAACCTGTAGAGAGAACTGCCATTTTCAATTCATGCAGGCAAGAAATAGTTTTATATCCAAAGAGGCTCAGAGGAGACAAAGAGAAAGAACATATATTTGAGGGGAGTAAGTAGGGACCAACTTTCCTACAGACAGCCAAATGTTAGAAGCTAAAATACCTAACTTGTTAGTCTTTGGAGTAGAATTCAACATGCAGTAGAATTACAGATGCCTGGCCTGTACATGGAGAGAGGCAGAGATATCCTAAGGACAAGTCCAAAAGCCTGCCTGCTGAGGGCCCAGCAGCCTGGAGCTTTGTTTGCACAGCTTTTTCAGAGGGTTCAGGGAGAACCAAAACCAGCAAGGGAGTTCAAAAAGCAATGTCTTCTTAATTTTTTCTTGCTTTATACAATAGACCAGGAGAGTTCTGCTGCTCTCAGCCACAGAAATGGACAAGACACCTATTTTGTGCAATGAATTGATAGAAAAGACTGAATTGTGGTAGATGGGGAATTATTAAGTTCCTCTAACGTTCTGTGCTGAACCTAGACCTATTAAAGATAACTGTCTTCACCAAAAGAAACACAGAAACACAAAGTCCAAATCCCTTCTGACACAAGAGGCTTGAGCATCTCTGCTGAACGTCTGGCAGGTAACTGGGGTGGCAGCAAAGGAAGGAGGAGGAAAAAGCCAAGTATGGTATTAAATCATCACCAGACCTAACCTGCACTCTAACTGCTTCTGAAGCTGAGCCATTTTGCATAAAACTGCAATCTCTCTTGGCCTACCTAGGAAAAGAAGAATACAGTGGAATGATCTGGGTTTAAGACAGTGTATTTGTAGCATAAATTTAAAATCCACCAATATTCATGTCCTGTTAGTTCTTAAGTTCCAAGTGCCACCTATAACCTAAGCACTGGAAAACAATTACTACTTCAGATATTCAGGTATTATAAAATTTTGGAGGCAATATATTCTTAAATTAAAACACATCAAAAGTTTGAAACACAGATGGGAAAAATATGAATGCAATGCCAAACTAACTGCACTTCTTAGTCAAAAATACACCACTGCTTTTGAATTTTTTTTAACTTCCCTTTTTTTTTTTAAATATCATGGGTACAGTGGCTCCATTTCATTATCACAAAAGCTTGAAAAGAAACATCTGGCAAGAACAGACTAGAAACAAGCCAGAAAAACTGTGTGGGTGATATAAGAAAGAATACTTATTGAGAATCTTTTGAATAAAAGAAATTACAGTTGAAATAAATATTCTAGAATTATTTTTTTAATTACTCAAATTTGTGGTGATTTAATATTAGCAAAAGTTAATAATTAAATGAATTTTTCTACAGGAATAAGAAATCTGAAAAAAAAACCCCAAAACCAACTTACTGATCTGAAAGATGTAGAGAGATGGGTTTTACCAGTATGTTTAAAAATAAGTGATGATGGAACTTGCTTTGAAATATATTTGTGTGAGAAACCTGCTGCTGAAATCTTGGGTCCAAGGTGAGAATAATCATAAAAGCATAGCAGACAATTTTTCCCAGGAGGAAATGACGACTCAGATTGCTTCTGGAGATTCACTGATCAAACATGGACATTGAAACCTCTGGAAAAAAACAAGCAACCCACAAGCCATCCTTCAAGGCAGCTTTTTTTTTTCCTATCAGCCTGGACTAACAGATGGGCCTTGCATCATTCCCCAAGCAGACACAAAGACCGGCTTTGTGAGCACATGGCTGTGTGGAAGTGAGAAGGATTCCAGAAGAAAGGGCTGTCTGCTGAGAAAGGCCGGGCTCTTCCCAAAGACACCACAAGAAGCCAGAAAATATTCACTGAAGTGCAAAACATGAGCAGAATTAGAATCCATGACACAGGGAAATGCACGGTCAGCTTGGGTAAGCAATGGCAGCCTATCTAGGAAAGAGTCTGGATGATGTGTGCATCATATCTTAAATCCATAGGATAAAACTAAACAGAAAATGATGCTGACTATTTTGGGGTGGAAGGGAAGCTATTTCCTCAGAGATGTGATTAAAATCTCACCAAGTGTACATTTTAAATTCGACTGGAAAAACATTAATGAAAGGAGGAATAATTTCAAACTGGCAGAAATATACTAGATGATCTGTTTTTTTTCATCTCCACAGTTTATAATATTCAATTATCTTGCCCAAGATATAAAATTAATTCTAACTCTTCAGTCTGGCTTACTGTCACACACAGATTTTGAATGTCAAATGTATCAAGAAACTAAGAATTTTCCATATTCAGCACCATCAGACAAGGGTTCTACACTCTTTCACAGTCACATGAACGGCGCTTTGCAGCACCATCATCCTGTGGCTCTGAAAGCCTGTGCACTTGATCAAAACCTACGACTGCCAGCAGTCACATTTGGGCACATGGAAAAACCTCTGCTATGCAACAAGGTACTTGGAACACCTGATACCATTTACAAAACACATTTCAGTCAAAATGATTGTGCAATACTCTCCTGGAGTTAAATTCAATGACCTCAGTACAAATTATGTGAGTATAAAAAGCTGCTCAAAATTATTTCAATGAAAATTATAGCCAGAGTATGCTCACATGTCAGCCTTATTTGAAAAGCTAAAAGATAACCATACAATACTACAACCAAATGTATTTAAGACAGCAATTCTTCAAAATCGTTTTTATAAAAATTATTAAAAATAAATCAACATTTTTCTGAATACTTGTATAGAACAAACAGGTTTTGATACTGAATTACATTTTGGACAAGGCTTTTAATGCATGAAAAAAATACAACAGGAGGGACAACCCCCAGCTTACTTAGGGCCTTCAGGCCTGCAGTTAAACATTCATTACAACATGCTTCAGCTAGGTATTCTAC